CTCTCTCTCTCTCATTAGAATTAGATCTACTATATTGGCAAGAAAAATACCATTTTCTCCTAGAGCAATAATTTGACATAATACACAAAAACTGATGCCATTTCTTGAATCAACAACCCCTAATTAGCAAAGAACTAATAGAAAAAGTCTTAATCTTAATGCTCTCAAATGAGTGTTGATCAGTGTTATCAACGTTCTTGAGTTCCTAGGCCTGTTGAGTTGTTAAACTGTCTTGTGATGTATAACTAAGCTCGTCCTGACTCTAAAATCTAGTGAGTTTTCTTTTGGTGGAATCTGTTGCAACTCACGTTTTGTTTTCTTTAAGTCCCTTACTTTAGCAGTAAATAGGGTTACCCTCCTGTTTTGAATTCAATCACATTAGAGTGGGACATATCTAGTTGTCTCACAATGAGAGTCGAGTTGGATTCTTACTTCTCTTGTGGGGTCTTGTTGGGAATAGTTGTAGTGACTGAGCCAATTGCTTATTGTTTTTGAAAGTCGGTGATGCGGTGCTGACTCTTGTAACCTTTATGGGTTGACATGACTTATACGTAGCAATAGATGGGGCAGTCGGCACAACAGTTCTCGACTTGAAAGACTTATTACAAACACCCTGTGTTTTTTAATGAATATCTTTCTAAAATTGAGAAAGTAGTAAAAGTGAACAGCAGCAAGGCAGGCCTCGACATGAACGTCAAGAAAACAAAAACAATGGTCTCATCAGAATCCTCTGGATAAACAACGAGAGAATCGAACAAGTGCACCAATTCAAGTATCTAGGCGCAACAATCACAGACGATGAAAGAATTGAAAAAGAAATAAACATAAGAACAGCTACGGCAAAATCAAGATTCAGTCAAATGAAAAAACTATTTAAATCCAGGCAACTATCTCTCACTTTAAGAAAAAAAATGTTGGAATGCTACATCTTCCCCACATTCATGGCGCAGAGACCTGGACTTTGACAAGGAAAGAAGAAAACAAAATAAATGCGTTTGAGATGTGGTGCTATCGTAGAATGGCCAGAATAAGTTGGAAAACAAAAAAGACCAACAAAGAGGTGAGTCAGATTCTACACACAAGAAAAACCCTGAACAAAATAAAATACTAAGGCCATTAAAACGAATAGAGACATTGTGAAATGGGCGCTTGAAGGAAAGATGTGGGGCAGGAGAGCCAGAGGAAGACAAATAATAACATGGATGGACAATAAAAGAACATGGACTGGATATGGCGGAATGTGCTACGGCAGCTCGCAACCGTGAAAGGTGGAGGGTCATTACACGTCAACCTCTGAGTCAGAGATGACACCTCCAGATATCCTGTGTTTCTTATGAGAAGTAAAAGCAACCCAATACAGAAGTGTAAATTGATGTCTAAAAATCCAGAGTGTCTGTATGTGGTGTTTTGTCCTGTCGTGAAAGAAGTTGCTTCTGGTGTTGAAACTGTTTTGCCCTAGATTCTTGTGTTGTTTTGACCTATGTTCTTGCTACCCATCACTATTCTTTAAGGTAGTAACAAAAAAGACTGTTTTCTATGGCAGCACAATAATCTGTTCAAATATAGGTGCAGTTTTATACCAGTTGCTGAGCTTTTTAAAAAATGTTTCTTAGTGTGTCCACACAAGAGTAACACACTGCAGATGAGTAAAAGTGCCACTCATCATCCTTCACTGTTTCACCAAATGTTAGTTCATGCAAATTAAGTAGATGACACTATTCTGTGAGAAGCCCCGTTCTGAGAGCTGCTAGATTTAAAGCAACCAAAATCTAGTGAACACTGGACAGATGATCCTAAAAAATTAATTAAAAATCATAGAAAACAACACAAACGTTGAAACTTTCACAAACTGTACAGTATACTTATCCCTAACCGGAGGGGTGTCCCATTTATTTGTGCACTTTCATTGTTGCAAAAGGGTAACCCATCATTGTATTTGCGATATTTTCCTAGAACATTTTTGTCATGAATACAGAAGTCTAGTGAGAGTTGAACGTCATGTGTGTGATATAAAGTTAACTATGAAAATGCATTTTTATGCCAATTTAATGTGTGACAATGACTTCAAGGGCTATTATATATATTATGTGCAGGACTCAAACAAGAATGCATCGTATTATTTAATTAGACTACATTGGGAAAATCTTTTTGCACTCAAGGGGGCTCAATACTTACTGGCCATTTTTAACTAAAGACAAACTGAAATTATTTTTGTCACAGGCAATAAGTATGAGACAAAAGATTCATGTTCGACTGTGGACACACTCGATTACAAAAGTCGTTGCCACCATGAAAATTGAACAGAAATTTTTTTTTTTATTCTGTAATTAGCAAAATGTCACGAATAAATAGGTGTTTACAGCTGGCTATTTCGATCTTTGATACTATGCTTAGAAAGTATCCAAAATTGATCGAAAATTTGGGGATATGGAATTTGATCTTTAAAAAATATTTTTGGGAATGAAAAAAACAAATTGTAAAAAAATTCTAAAGCAGACTGCCACTCATCCCGACTTAGTCGGGATATCCCGATTTTTGCCCCAAATCTCAAGCATCCCGATTTCGATCACGTGTATCCCGATTTTTTGTCCCAGTCTGCCGTTGTGTCGAATTTTTCTAAAAACTAACTCTGCCTTCTCCTTTATCGCGAGAAGCACCCGTTGCACTTTTTGTTAGTAGGAACTCGAAGCATTATTTCCCAAAATATCGATGCCGCATTTAGTAGTTGACTCGCCCCAAGTTGTGTGTGATCTTTACCTGCGCTCAGAATTCTCCGATGATAGCCTGGTAACTGTTACAATTTGGGACATACAAATAATCGATAATGTTCGTAGTTCCGTTGTTACTTTCAAAACAAGCCTTGTCCGAGGTCTGGTAACTGCGCGTTCACATCAAACACTCGGACGAGTGACAGTCTTTCTAACCCTTACACAACTAACTGTAACTGCGCTGACAAGACAAACAAACGGCCGTTGTCGTTGCTTTAGTCTGAACACATGAGGGATAAGAGATTTGTTGGTACATTTGGTCGGTCGGCCGCCGTCATTATTCTAGAAGTAGAACGACTGTTGCTCATCCGAGTGTTTCGCGTGAACGCGCAGTAAGTCGGACCCGTTAGTAAAATTGTTAAAATCGCGCATTCGCGTCACGTGACCTGTCATCGCCGTGTGAGTTCTGCGTGTCGGGGACCGTCCGTTGACGGGGTCAACTTAAGTTCATATATTTCGGGACTTATTGGTAGGGGTAGGGGGGGGTATAGACACTTGGACTAGGGGGTATTTACCAAAAATAATGATAACTCGCACATACGCACGCACGCACGCACACGCACACCCACACACACACGCAAACAAACAAACAAAGACACACAGAGGGCATATAGGCCAAGGAATTTATGGACACCCCTGGAAAAAATTTGAGTCAGCTTTGACAGTCACCTTGGTGATTTGCTGTTGATCCCAATTTTTTTCACCAAATCCCGATTTTTTTCTCCCTGAGATCCTAATTATGAGGTTTCATAGAGTGGCAGGTCTGCTAAAGCATTGTCAAGTACTAACCAGCCCACTACAACTACAAATGATTTCTCTAACTAAATGCCAAATTTCAAGTCTCTGTGTTGGAAAATAAATAAATGGTGGAGAAAAAAAATGGCATAGATCTATATATGCAAGCAAAAAGTGGTGACAAAGTGCATTTTGAGAAAAGCAAGATTAAACATCAAACATGTTAGTACACAACGTAGAACCTAATAACATTCAATGACTATTTCCTGCCACGACATTCCAGGATGGTTATTCTAGGATCAGGGAGTTTGGGGTCTAGAAAAAAGAATTTAGCAGGCAAATGGCAGCAAATATGCTATTTCCAGAGTACATGCTATTGCAGTTCAACCCACAGAAGTCAAAATGAAAAACTTTTTCCAACTGTGTGTGCCAGCATCTGTTGTCAGGTTCTTTGTTTTGAATACAAAAAAATGTAGGGGAAGATATTTTAATGAGTATCGCCAACTTTCTACAGAGATGTATCCTATATAACCCAAGCCAGCCCTGACAGAGATGGTCGAAACAGACCTCCTGAGATATCTAAATTGTGGGGATGAGGGGCATAAAATGTCAACAATCACACATGATTGCATGTTCAGAGACAGCTCACCTGTTAGTTGAACCGTTGTAGCAGTAGCTTGGAAGCAGATCCATGTTGAGCTCCCAGAAGACATGCAGCGTGATGCGACCATATGGCGCGCTCACATTGTGATTGGCCTCCTTCAGCATGGCATCAAAGTCATTCAGTACCAGGTATTCGCCCATCAGTTTGTGTGCCAATCGGTTCACTTCCACAAGCCCTTCCAATTCCTGGATAAGATATCAAAGCAGACAGTGAATATGCTGTCCACAATCCATGAGCCCACTGGGTACATCAAGTACAAAACTAAAGACCAGTGGTGATGAAGCCTACCGCCGTCAAAGAGTACTGCAGAAAAATGGGTGGGGTTGATCTAAAGGATCAAAGCACACAGTATTACGAAATTACGAGGAGATCCCTCAAGTGGTGGCGGAAGCTGGCGTTCTACCTTATCAATTTGTCAGTGATGAATTCCTACTAACTCTACCGGAAGTTTTCCCCTGACAACCCAAAGCATACTTCAGGGAAGCCATCGTTCAGTGACTTGTGGCTGAGGCAACTACTGCACAACGGCCAGCACATCAGTGAGGTGCAAGAAATTCAACACCCAGAATTGAGTCTGAGCCGAGACTTGTCGAGCGCCACTTCTGTGATTTCATCCCGAGCCGACCAGGTTCAAAGCGCAAGCACGGTGCAAGAGACTGTGCGGTTTGCAACCTCCCCCCCTCTGCCAGGGAGAAGTTCAAGCGAGTCCAGACCAGCCACTGGTGTGAGGACTGCGGAGTTCCACTGTGCTACCCACAGTGCTTTAAACTGTATCACACCACTGTTGACCACAAGCAAGAGGCAAGGAGGAGGGAGTGAGGAGGTTACAAAAGGCAGTAACCACTAAGAGGAGGAGGGAGAGTGGAGTATTCATGAAGCAGAGATGAGCGAGGTTTGTGAAGTTGTTTTTTTTTTGTTGTTGTTGTGCACTTACCTCTAAACACACGACAGCATTACACAGTTCAGATCAATAAACACAAAAGTTTGTATGTTTCTATGTACATGTTTTATTTATCATTCTATACACATTAAACACTAAAACAGTCAACAGTTAGCTGCATACATTCAGGTGTCCTACTCCACTCTGTGTTTACAACTTACTTTTCTTTCACCACTTCACTTACACAGCTTTCCACTCACTCTTATTATAATCAAATCTACAAAAATCCCAATTATCTTTGCCTAAAGTCAAAGTTCATTCAATTCTCAACAATATTTTTTTTAATGTGATCATCTATCTTTTAGTACATTGATTTTCGTGACATACCCTGAAATCTTAAAATCCCTTAATTTCAGAGCAGTCTTGAGGTGCAGTAATTCAAATTTCACATTAGTCCTTCAAGGGTTAGAAAAAGTACAAAGGAATGTTACCAAGCAAGACGCAAACTTTCAGACTCGTTCCAGACATAACACATGACAACACGGGTGTGAAGGTTAAAGATGCTGAATTTGTGCACATGGGAGTTTCATTTTGCAACTTAGGGCAATAGCTTGTAAAAATGGAGCAAGAAGAATGTTGTACAGCCATAGATATGACCACCTGTCCAGATTCAGTATCTACAGCAGCCTCTTTGTCTTTCTTCTCCGTTTATGCTGCCTTTTTTTTTTCTTCCTGTGAGCATTGTACTTTTCCTCATCTAAGTTACCCTTGTCATGTGTAAAGTAAATGTTGCACTTTGGGGGGGGGGGAGATAGATATCCCGTCGACCAGGAATATCTTTTTAAATACAGGTCGAGTCAGAGAAACTTTCCATCATTAATGCTATGCTCGATTTATTCTTCATATTGATTTTCATATATTCTACAGAAAAAGCTCAAGGTACTATTTAAACATTTTCTTTCAACGGTTGTGGGAAGGCATCATTGGATTTTTAGAGAGAAATTCATCAAAAGAGGTATCTTTATTTGAAATCTTTTTTGTAACTGATACGTCTGGACAATCTGTTCCGATCTGCTCATTCAGGCCCTTCAAGACGTACCACTGTTTCCAACCAGTTATGATGATAGATATAGTTTTGTACACTCTGATTCTTCCATTGCTGCCCCGTCGGCAGTATTCCTGGGAAACTTGTCTTCTAGAAACGGATGCTTCTGTTGTTCTTTCTTTAATTTTTGCGGGGGTCACGGGCGGTTTTCAAACTAACTTTTTTCAAATCAAGTCATATTTCAATGCGCATGTATTTTCCCTATTACTTCATCTACCATCTCTTGGTACCTCAGATGACTTGCCTTGCACAAACATCCTGAACCCAAGCTTTGAGCACTCCTTATTTGTTGGGTATATCATATTCATTAGCAGGGACGGCTGTGTATTGTTCAACAGACTTACACAGTATGCACTGTCAATATTCAGATGCAGTAGGGATACACGGGGTTGCTCATATGACAGTTACACATATTTCTGTCGGTTATTGCATCTCTAAATCAAAACAGAACATGCTTTGTGGCTCTATGACGATAAATATAGCAAAAACCAAATGTTTTCATTTTTAGACTTACATGGTTTGCGACTTGAACCGTCGATATCAAACTTATGATGAATTCAATACATACGTCTGGAATCCTCTTATTGGAGAGTCATGAATAACCCCACCCTCTGTCAATGATTATTTCGTATTAGCAACTTACCCCTCGTAAGAACAATGGGTATATACAGTTTATACAACCTCTAAATCTACACCTTTACTAAGAAACTTTTATGAAAGGAAAAATATAAAACACAGGAAACTTGTATTGTAAGGGTTACTTGGAAAATAAAAAAAACATAAACAACTTTCATGACAGACCCAAGACGCTGAGAAAACTTACCACAATCCCTGTGATGTCTCCAGCCTCAAAACGAGAAATTGCGATGTCCAGAGCTTTCTGCAGAGCAGCATTCACCAGCTGGCTGATCAACCGGTTCAGATCAATAGAGCGACCCAGCAGCTGCAACAAAATCAGAGAAAATTTTTACAGAACAGTCTTTTTACTTCTGAATTGTCTTTGCTTAACACTATACATTTAACTATTACATTTGACTTCATCCAACAGGAATGAAAATGGAAAAAAACTTCCAAGTGCAATATTAAGGTGCTATATGAACAAAGCTTAACACAGTTTTCCCATCCGGTGTTGTTAGAGGTTCACATCTACGAGTACAATACAGCAAGAAAGAAATTTGGCTTATAAGGTATCGGCACCAATACCATGTATCAGTCATATTATATATTATACAGTGGCGTCCAAAAAAAATTCAAAATGTATTCACGTAATCATGTTAACACCTTGCAATACCCATTCATGCAGCACATCAATTTAAAGCTAAATAGAGTCTACATCATCTGACATTTTAATATTTCATCTACAATAAGAGTTGTCCGAGATAATGTCACTAAAAACCCTGACCTAAAAAATCATGCCCGGCTAAATTCTGTGAATCAAAGAAACACAAAACTGTGTTTGCACTTGTGTTGAGGTGCACAAGCATTGGGGAAATGGATAAGTGTTGCATATCAAATGAACAGAGAATTTTTTTGTCAGCAATAAACGATATTTTATAACGATAGTTTGAAACAGAGCAGACACAAATAAAATGCAAAATAAAATGTCCAAAATCTAACAACCACAGTCCATGCTCAAAAAAGGGTTGGTGCTCTGCACAAAGCCAAAGACTCGTAAACAACATACTAATGAGCACATTTAGCGTTATGTCCAAGTTTTGCATGGTATTTGGGACTGCTCTGTTTTCCAATCTGCCTGAAAATATCGTAATAAAGCATTGTTCATTGCCGAGATAATGTTGTGTGTGGTCAGCTATAAGTCTACTTTTGCCTTGGTGAGGTGCCACGGGGGGGAGTTCGGGGAAAAGAAATTGTTGGATGTCTTGTTTCGAATATTGTAGGTTTTTGAGGTTCTCAAGGACTCCGAGGCCGCATGGTTTGATGAGTTTTTCGTTGTTTTTGAATTTGTTTATGGTGTCTGGGTTTGTTCTGAAATACAGTCGGGTGCTGGGTTCTCTGGTGTTGAGCTTTGTTTAATTGCATATTGTAGTGAGAGTTGTGTGCGTATGAGTGAGAGTGATGGTATGTTTGCCTCCGCCTGAAGGCTCTCTACTGGAGAATGCGGAAAGCTCCCAGGGCGAGGCGGATTCTTGGTTTTGTACCGAGTCTAGCAATTTTAGGACATGGGGTTTTGCCGATCCATAAACCTGACAGCCGTAGTCAAGCCTTGATCGGACAAGAGAAATGCATAGGTGGAGAAAGTGGTTTGAGTCCCCGCCCCACTCCGGATGTGATAAAATTTTCAAAGCATTTAACATTTTCTGGCACCTCACACGAAGGTCTTTTATGCGTGGAATGAATGTGAGTTTCTTGTCAAATATAATGCCGAGGAATAATATTATTCATAGACCAAGACAAATTGTTAGCAATCAGATATAGCTGACATCATGTTTGTTTAGTAAGAGTTTCACGACACTCGTAACTACATTAGGTCATATAAGCATGCGAAACAAAAGATGGTTGAATTTACAACAGTTCACAGCACAGATCGGTTTTGGTCAACGATCAGATTAACTCGTTAAAAATTTCATTGTAAAAATTTCAATCTTAAAAAATACATTTGAGATTTGATTACAACAGTAATATTTACATTTTACTGTAAAGGCCAATAGCATCTATAAAATTGAGGATTCTGTTGGGATCAACGATGGAGAACAGATCTTTCAAATTTTGTACATTTATAAGATTTCCTTCGATTCTTTCTAAAGTTCGAACATTCCGTTAGTAGGTATCTAAAGGCAAAGTCAGTATCTTTTCCTACACAGAAGGGTTTCTCCTCTCCCTGCAGGGGGTATTTATGTGACGTCAAGGAGGTATGTCCGATACGTAATCGAGTATATATAGCTTCATCCTTTCTGGAGAGGCCCGAAGGTTTTCGTGGTCCCAGTTTGGGCATGATATTATAAAGTTTATTGTTTAATTGGTTACTCCAATGTTTCTCCCAAAGACTGGACTAGAGTGTGAGAGAAGAGAGCATATGGTAGAGACAGATAATGCCCTCGACTTGTAGTCACACGACTTTCCACAGTAATGTCCAAATTATGTCAAAGTAAACCAAGGACAAGAGTAACATTGACGAGAAATAGGAGGAGCAGACCATACCATACCCACCTATCTTCCAGTACATGGAGGAGATCCAAGGTCTATGACCTTTTGGGAAACATGAACAAAATGAAGTAAACTGTCAAATAGCAAAGAAAAAGTATGAACCCTATCAATTATCAGGAACTTTTCTCTTGCAAAATGATTCACACTTTTAAAGACCACACTCACCTGCACATGGCGTTGTTTTAACAAGGTCTGGTAGCGGTTTGCCACAGGGTAGTTGATCTTTTCTCCGCTGCTCATGCACTCAGCACGGAACCTCTTGTCCAACATGATGCTGAAGTAGTTCAAACAAACAACAAAGCTCTTTACAAACAAAACAAACAAAAGATCCATTTACACAATAGAATATGGCTAAGACCATTATGTTAATGAATATTAATGTTTTCTTGCGTCCTAGCAATGATCTCAGCCACATCTTATTTCATAACTTATAAAATTGATTTCACATAATGAACAATGACTCTTACTTGTGCATAACTCTGAGCTTGGTGAACAGCTCTTTGCATTTCTTTTTCCTTTTTCTATCATCCTTTGAACAAAGTAAACAGTATTTTAAAAGTAGCAAGTTCAGGGGAAAGCATAGCTCCAAACCATTACCCTAACATGGAGCCTTACCTGCCTGCTAGGTGCTTGTAGTAAGCAAATATCTGGTCCCCAAGCTTGTAGACAAACTGGTCAAAGCACAAGTTGACCTGAAAAGGGCCATGGTATTAAAATAATTCAATGAACAGAGGTCATCATTCCAGACAAAGTCAATTTACTTATTAAGCAAGCACATGTTAAATTTCCACTCGATGATACAGTTCATGAAGGAATCAGAATCCACAAGATCAACCATTTTCAACAATAGTTCTGATATTCATTCCAATACAGCATTATTAAATTCACTCTAGCAAAACACAAACTCTCAAGAGCATATTGGTGTTAGGGGTCCTCTTCTATTTACAGTACTTATGAAGTTGTCAATGGGCAAATGGAGTCATGCTCTGGCAAGTGCTCAGTGTTTGCAGAGAAAAGAGATATGGTTTGTTTTAACATTTTGCCCCCCCCCCCCCCATGGGACGCTGATCAGTGACATTAGGAAGCTGTCCCTTTTTCCCCATGGGACGCCAATTGGCGACAGTGTAATATAACAACAAAAACATTGGAGCAATGATCTCCTTTTAGACATACACACTTGTTAAAGTTAAAATTTCTTGTCGGAACAGTTTATATGGTTTTTGAGCGCGAAAATTATTATGTTTACTACAACTGCAGTGAATTTTTTAAAAATGTCGAGTAGACCTAGCATGAGTGTTGCTTTACATTGACGCCATGATGAAGATTTGGGTGATGAATGTGATAGATCTAATGTTTTTAGTTGTGGCTCTAATTCCTTTTTTTGTGTGAAAATGCCATCAACAAGTTCAGAAAATTTCATAATGATCGGGGTAGATTTTGCCCAGATACAGGTATAGTACTGATCTGCTTCATCTGCATCCTGTTACGTGGGAATAAAGGTTAAGTGCTTGTGGCACCGGGTGGGTGGAAGGTGTTAAAAAGAAACTGTCAAATTATGCATGAACTAAAGATGATGTTACTCAACTGCAGCCTAAAGACATTATCATTTCTATAAAAGCATCAGGAAATGCTGCCTTGCAAAAATGAAAACTCAGGTTTAGACTTATCAAAGAGAAAACATTTTTTGTTTTTTCTCCAGTTTTCTCCTGGATTTTGTAACCATTTCCAACATATTTTTTTCAAGATGACAGTGCGAGTAAGAAATTAGGAAGAAAAAAGAAACATAAATATTGTAGTACTGTTCCAAACATAAAAGAAACCAATGGGACACATCACAAACCTTTGATCCTATCTGTGTGTCAGTAGGTATGCCCCACACTTCAAGTCTGTTTGGTTTTGGGGGCTTGTTTTTTTCTGGGGGTTAGGTTCTAATTCTCTCATTGGCCTTGGCCTAGGCTGTCACTCACAATGCAAAAACGTATAATTTTTTTTACACCGTGTCAAACTAATGTCAATTTTACTCCTGGCTTTGGCACAATTTTGTTGGGGGGTTTTTCGTTGTTTTTTGTTGTTTTTTTTTTGGGGGGGGGGGGAGGTGGCACTGAGTAACTCCAGGGACTCTATACACAGAGGGTATTGAAGTCAGACAGCTGCAAGTGATGTAGCGATGAAGACTGTCAGAATCTGACGGCCAGGAATTGGGTTGGGGTAACCAAATAAAAAATGGATTTTCAAAAATCATAATCAGGGGTGATATGATCCTATTTCAGTGAAATTGGTAAAAAAATAAAATAAAATAAAAAGCAAATAGAAAACATAATGATTCTGTCTAATTCACAATGATGCGATCAATGTCCTTTAATATCCCAGCTTTCTTTAGTCTGGTCAGGAGGAAATGTGTTTGCCTCTCATTTGAAAGGTCATGGGTTTGAAACCTGATAGAGACTAAAAACATTTCTCATATTTTCCCCCCTTTCATTTCCTTTCCTCTTGTGTTATCTGCTGTCATCTCCACGGTGTTTTTAAAATATTGGAATGAAATTTTTAAGTCGCCTAGAGAAACTTCAAAGCCCAAAGACCAAAAGGCTGGTGGGCACCAGGGGGATTTTATATTGCGAGGGTTCACACTACTGTGTGAAAGGTCTGAGAAGGCCCGAGGATTGACGAGTATTGGGTTTTTTAAAAGGCACATCTACAGAGTCCTTGACACATAATATAGCCTACCTGCTGATCCTGTAGAAGATTTTCAATTTGCATTTACATTCAGCTGAAGCTGTACATGTATTTGATTGCTTCTCTTTTTCCCTGCGCTCGCTAATCGTGAATGGCAGATCTAGAGGAGTCAAGAGTGGCCGCAATTTGTCTTTAGTCTATACCAGCCAGCCACTAGTCAAGATGGCAGTGGGTGCTATCCCGTTTTGCCACCTATCCCATTGAACTGCCAGTTTCATGCTCGTCCCAAAGTAGATGATATAATGGGATTTGGCAGTATTAATTTCTACCCAAACTGAAAATACTGTAGTCACTATAAAAACATATAGAGTATCTTCAAAATCGGAATGCAGCTGAAGCTGAAAAGTAAGGAAAATTCTGCTGGGGATCTGGGGGCCCAGCAGGGCCCAGGGACAGCATCCTGGTGGGGGTTCAGGGGCCGAAGCCCCCCAAGAAATTGGAATTTAGTACTTTTAGAGGGTTGAAAATGGCATTTGGGAGCCTGTTTGAAGAGATCGCAAACAACCCATACTAGATCTACCTATTTTTTCACCAAGATTTTGTCTTGTTTGAATTCTTCACACATATCTTTTCCTTTGCTGGCAATGTTTAAAAGCAGGTTCCCCTTCCATTGCTACTATAATTCAATTAATTTGTCATCGCACCACTGATAGAAAAGGCAAACCTGGGAATAATGAATAGATATATAGGCACCTTCACAATACAGTTACCCAGCCTATACCCTATTTTTCCTCAATTTTCACGTCTGAATGTCGCATGTCACAACCTCGGAACACCACTTCGAATCATTCTTGATTTTAGTAGTTTTATTTCTTTCATCGCAGCCCTTATCGCGTTCCCGTTTTGTAGAATCTTCGCACTGATAATTTCTCTAGACAATAAATTTGCGAAAAAGTTTCTTTCTGATAGTAATTTTCTAAGATCACAAGTCAATTTACTTGATCAACGTGCAGATTTTCCAGCTGCGGCAACAATCCGAAGATAGGCAGAGGGAATGAGGGAATGATAGAAAGGAGGAAAGTGACACAAAAAGTTCGCCAGATTTTAATCAATCTGCAGGTAAAAAATGCACTGCCGACCAACCCGCAATGAAAGCATGGGGCATACCGGATTAAAAGTCGATGGCAGGAAATGTGCAATCTGGCAGGTTTCTATACCGTAACAAACTATTGTCAAGAGAATTACCGTAAATATCCGTAACTTATACTATACAAGACGATACGAAGGTGAGTACAGTTCTTTTGCTACGGAATTTCGGTTGTCTTACGCTGTCGCAGATTTTTACGGAGGGAGTTGATAATGATGGAGGAACAAGTACGGAACTGGCAGAAAGTACGGATTTCCGTAAAACTACGGAAGAGTGGAAGCACTGTATGAAGTAGGAAAAATCAGTTGCATTGCAGGTTGAAGAACCAGCAGTCACCTACCCTTGAGATCTATCAGGGGAACACAAAGAAGAAGAAGAAGAGTCGAGGGTACATTTTTAGACTTGTAGTTAAATCAAACTAGTAGGGAGAAAAAATAATGTAAATGTTTTTCAGCACGAAAGTGGAGTTTGCGCCATTCTCGTACTTGAAAGATCAAGAGCAAGCAAATCTAAAGTCTCACCTCAGCTTCAACCTCATCATAGAGGAACTGCTTGCGGAACCTCATGAGGGCGTACTGGGCACTGTCATTATACAGGTCCAGGGGATAGAGGATGTATCTGTGCATGGAATAGAATAGAAATTCATAAAAAGTATAACATCGAGGTAGCCCTGGCACAGCTCTGGACTTCCGAACGGTGTCCCCTGTGGGTGGGGAACCCATGAGTCAAAACACACAAGGGATAAAAAAAAACCCAACTAAAAAGACCCTTCTCCAGCTCCCAATATAACAGTCTTGGCTCCCGGAACAGGGAAAGCGTATTGAGTTTGCATGAATACCTAACCATATGGGCATCCAAGGAAATGAGCAGGTCGACTTTCTAGTGAAGTTTTTGTTTAGTTTAGTAAGAGTTTTACGGCGCTCGCAACTGCATAAGGTCGTATGAACGTGCAAAATCCAAGTTGGTTGCATTCACAACAATTCACAGCACGCCTTAATTCGGTTCAATACTTCGATTAAAATGTTAAAAATCTGTGTTGACGAGATTGATGAGATTACATCTCAGCATGATCGTATCTGGGGTAAACATGGTACCTACTCATCAAGACTTTCAACAGAGATACGATCATATACAGGAGAGTGGATGATCAGTGACGTGATGAACACTACAATGATGGCAAATTTTGCTGCTTGATTGATAAGCTGCACTGCTTTCTTTGTTTGGGGAGCTCCAGTGGCCAAGTGGTGGGTGAGTTAAGACTAATTTATAATGTCAAGTAAGTGCTGGTGACATGGGTGGTCACTGGAGTGTGTCCTTGAGCAAGATATGATAACAGAGCTAAAATGTCACAGCGCTGCATAGTGGCAACTAGTAATGGTATGTTTGTAAAATTGTTTGCATTAATGTAATATTGTGCATTTGGTATTCTTTGTATGTATATTTGTTTTATTAGCTGTTTATGTATGCATGTTTGCCACTGTAACTCAAATTTCCCTGCGTGGATCAATACAGTGTTTCATTATTATTATTTTCATTTATTTTTATTTTTCTTATTCGTTTTTTTTAAATAAGTCCAGTCTCAGCGCCATACAAGAAAATGGGGGAGCAATAGTACTCAATTAATTTTTTCCTTAAAAGTAGTGATAATTGCCCTGCTGTTCTAGCTGAAAGACAGCATTACTCAAACACTCACAACATGATTCAGTAAAAGCCATTAGAAAATGTCAGGGTGTGTTCACATAGATCTATATGTACACCACACTTACATTTGTAAAAGAAAATACTTTTCATCCATATCTCAGAATCATTGTTGCTAGAAAGTACCTCCTTTTTTACTAAAAATGAAAATATTTTATGGGCCATGGACATAATTCAACCTTTTCGCATCATGTGGCTTTCAGGTGCGCATTCCCTGAATATGCGCGGTTGTTGGGTATTCTCAAAGAAATGAATCTCCACTGCTTTAAATCATAGACAATTGTATTTGGTGTCAAAGGAAAGTTCAAATATTTTTCAATGCAGACATAATTTGTAGAGCCGCAACAGGACAAAAGAGCGTATGAAGCAGAAAAAAAGGAAATGTTTTCAAAACAAATTTTACACCGCGATACACATACTAAACAATTTAACAGTGTTTCTTTGATAATCTTGACACTTATTCAGAAATGTGTGATTCATGAAAAATATAATTTAACTGAAATTGTTAGAAAATTCAACTGAATGAGTGAAAAATGTGCTGTTGTGGGCAGCTTTATGAACAGCTCAATATCCTAAAGAACCGGTATAGTCAGCTGCTTCTTTCAATTTACTTTGAGTTATAAACCTCAAAACAGCCAGGGCACAGTGCAACTAGGCAGTTTGAGTCCTAGTGCAGTGTAAGTTTCTTTTCCTATATCTGCTCACTGACACCCCAGCTCTGAACGCCTTTCCTGGGCACACTTCTATTGCCACATAAAGGTTCTGTATCTGGTGGTGTTGTCTTCAGCTTACAGTCACTCAATGAGAACATGCCTCTCTCATAGTCAGGAAGGATACAAACTGAGAGTGTAAGATTCATTGGACTCTATGACCTCAGACCAGACCATCAATGATTTATTTATAGAGGCACCAGCCATCCATGTCCAGGTGCTGTTTTAGCCTACTCTATGACCTCATCAACCAGCTTGAGGACCAGTTTCTTGACAACATTGGCCCTTCATTCCTGTTGCTTTTAGGGTGCTTTCTAAAAAATAAATCTAGATTCATTGTTCATTGTTTCAGGAAGCAACATCCCTGCACTCCAGACATGTCCATTGATGCTCCGTTGCTCTCTTCAAAATGTTGCCAAGGGTCCTTCCACTGATTGTGCCAGTGCACATCTGGTTGAACGTTCTTCTGTTCTTTCCTGCAAGGATGCCAGATTTTCCGCTTCCTTTTTGTATTCCCAAAAGCATCATCCTCTCCACGGCAGTACTGGCCTCTGCCTCCCTATCTTCCTCCTCAATCAGCTGGCGAGAGAGACATTTCAGGATCTCGACCCTATCTGGTTGAACCATATTGTCAACTAAAGTGACCTCACCAGCCAATCTGTCAGCTTTTTCATTTCCCCTAACACCTGCATGGCCAGGGTAGAAAATCCATGAGAGCAATCGTATAGGCGTTGGTTCGATAGCTTGAATCCATTCTGTTCTCAGGAAACCTTTTTCCATCCTTCTGAGGGTACACATGGAATCAGTGATAAGAACAGCATGGGCTGTGTGGGGGCGATTTTGGGTCATCCAATCAAGTGCTTTCGTGATGGCTTCAATTTCCATTCGCATACTTGATGTAGCCGTGCTGCAGGCTCCAGATGCACTGTGTATGATTTTATTGTTGACGAATGCAACAAATCCCCATCCACTTCTCTGGCTATCTCTTTTCACTGAACCATCTGTTTAAATTATAGGATCCCCTGCTTACCAAGTGGTTCCAACACTTTATCAACTTTCTCCTGAAGGGAAAGTACGAAATTTGTTCACCTCATGGTGTTAATTTTCATGCAATTCTATTAGTTTTAGTTAGCCTGACTCAGTAGCCCGCTGGAGTTCCCCTAAAGTGACTTTACCGATGTCAGTTTAGAAGTTCGCATTTTCGTCTACACTCGAAACAATATTATACCTTCTCCCCCATCCCACACGGTAAACCATTACACTGAAGTATTAAAAGCTCAATGTCTTGAGATTTATTCTGCAGTGGAATGGTTAATTTCTGGGTACCCAATTTGTCCTATTTTAGTTACATACTTATGAAGAAATGATTGTTTTATTTTTTAAATAGCACGACAGACCCCTCCAGAATCTGTGATAAACAACTACGAATATTATGTCTTTTACCATGAGCAACCTTAAATCTGCACATGTAGTAATAGTCAAGTTATAAGAACAGAAAGGTGCAAATCTGCATTTTGTGACAAAATACACTCAGCATCAGCTTATGTTCTACCATTAAATACACAAGAGAAAGGTGCTCTGCGTTTGTTCATGAATTATGCTGTGTCTGTGGCAGCCTGCATACAACCAAGAAAGATAATATGCGATTTTGTTTTAAACACAAAACTGTAAATACATGATCAAAGATAAACATATTGTGCACAGCGGTTATGGAGCGCCCATTTAGTTTCGGCTGGCGCGAGGCAAGCAAGCCTGCGCTTCCCCAGGTCACGGGGTCATTTACCTGCGCCGCCGGGGATTTCCCTAATCAGCCGAATACCGGCAGCGCTCTTGTATTTTTTGCAAAGTTTACCAGCACAGTGAGCCAAAGCTAATGTAAGATTAATATTTTAATAAAGACCACGTAAATATTCAACATATTAAGGAAGAAAATGAAGAAATCGGAAGAACATAGTATGTTACACTTAAAAGCTGTGAAGTTCTCAAAAAGGGGACCAAATTTGATAAATGTGTCATGGGTAATCAATTATAAACATCAATTTAAATGTGATTGCCCCCAACGATTTCAATCAAATTTGCACACAGGACTGAGAACATAATGAAATTTGTACTGACAAAGGGGCATATGCACGAAGTTTCTGGATCCGTAATTATTCAGGTTTGAAGTTGATTTTTGCAATACTCTTGCTTTGCGACCTTGTATTTTCATAGCGATATCCACGATACATGTAACTACAGAACAGATCCTTCCTTGCCGATACACTTATGAAAACACAACCTAAACACAAAATACAAAAAGAACACAATATTGCTGGACTGGAGGAATTATCTCATTTTTCCGCGGTAAGCTTTCATCTTTTGATTGGTGGTGCACACGACAGAGTAGCTCAGGGTGGGTTTGGACGTGTTGTGACTGCATGATTGTTTTGACGTGTTTTTCTTTGTCTGTTTTTGCTGCTACTCGTTTTTCCAGCTTGGCCATGGTTGCATGAATGAGCTCACCCCCTTGCTCACCATGAAAGGCCATTCCAAACCCACATTTTTGTATCCAAGGAACGCAGTGTTTCTCAAGGATGTGTTGTTTGGGGATGACCTTTTCTTTTGATTGATTATGATTGAGTAGCACGTGTTTTACGGCACTATCGACTCAAGACCTTTTATTTGCCAAATATGTTTCTGTATAAAGACATATATCGTGTGATGCATGACTTTGAAGGTGTCTTTTACGTGAACAAATTTCTCTCTCAGAACAATTAATGCGTGTCTATTATGCTTTGATTTCGTGTACATGCAACTGTTCCTTTTGTTAAAAATGATGCTAGCTGTCTGTACACATGGGCTGTGATGTATTTATGGCAGTTGTTTCCTATAAATGAACGGCTGTGGTAGGCCAGTGGTGTGATGTTGTGTTGTTTGAGGATGTTATCAAATTCAGAGCAGGCAGGACTTGACCTTGGAATAAGCTCCTCAAACTCTAACTCTGACAGCTGATCATGTACACTAGAACCCTCCCTCTCAAATCTCTCTGCTTCTTGTGGATTATCTGACAAAACCTGACATCCCTGTAACAATTGAATGTCCTCCTCGGTTTTTTTCAGCCCTCTTTCATTTTTTGCCGTAGATATGCACATTTTGTCCTATTCCAGGCGTGCAATTCTCCATACATTGATGGACCAGCTGTACATCTATATCATGTGCAGCCTCCTCAAGAAGGCGATGATGTTTGAGCACAATGCCCACCCTATGATCATGTTGAGTGTGGCACTCCATGACAAATATATTGTTAAAAATGACAACGAAAATCAGATGTAGTAGAGGCAAGAAAACTAAAAACAGCAAGGATGAATGTTCAGAGTGGTGGGTTGGTATTTTTTAAAAATCACAGAAAATCATAGAATAACTTAGTGCACTTGAAACTTGCGCATGTAAATGAAAATTGTCACCACAGTTGATACATGAATTTCTGTTTAAATCGTTGGGGGCCGGATTGAAATATTTAAATCCAAACTGAAAAAGTTCTAAAAATTGAAGATGCCAGTTTGAAAATCACAGACTTACTTAAATCCCTTGTAAAACTGATATAATCGGACTTGCAAGAAAACAAGTTATACCGGCTTACAGGTCAAACATAGCACGTTACAATGAAATCTCAATCGGCCTTGTAGCATTGATAGTTTCAGAGTTAGGAGGCTTTCAATTCGCACTAAAACGCCATATTTACTACTGCCCCGGCACAGGAGGAGTGGCGCTGCGGTCACCCCAATTAACCCCTCTGACAAGTGATTTATGACTACGCGCTGGGCTGTCGGGCGGGGCGGGCTAGGTGGTGAGGATGGTCGGGGAGGAACCAGGGAAGGAAAACTAAGTGAGCGGTCTGGACGGTATTTTATCCGCTGTGTGTGTGGCATAAAAACAATGACAACTAACACATTCATTCTTAGTTTTTGTGTTGAAAATATACTCCGACACTTATGAATATAAAGAAATCAGAACAATGTCAGTTATGGCAAATGGTAATAGAAACGAAAATAAAAGCTGGAAAAATCTGGTGCTAATTCAGTGTCACTGGAATGCAGGAAATTATTCTGAAAACCCAGTAACCATAACTGATCCCTGTTATTCAGTCAACTTGCCAAACCTAGACTTATCGTTTTAAGAAAAGTAAGGAATTTCTGGAGTGTAACAGGTACTGTTCGTGTATTGCATTGTAGACATATTCTGGCCCTAAGATTGATTTGTACTTCTTCATAGAGAGACTACAGGGTAATCTTTATAAACTTTCGAGAAAGTATGCAAATATTCATGATTGTATTAGACATATAAAGCTGTATGTGGAGGAATTACTTCTTTGCGAATTGTGTCCCAGATGGATAAAGTAGCAAAAATACAGCATTCTATTATCTGCACAGATACGATATTTTCTGAGTATCTCCATCAATGTATGTCGCTCATGTTCCAAAAGTTTACAGTTTGTGTTGAGACGCGTTTTTTTAACTGATTTTTGTTTCATTCACATGTCCAAAAACTGTTACAATTTAGCATTGCCGACCTCAGCGCTTCTCATGAAATAACCTGACAAGTTACATAGTCCATTCTTTTCTTAATCTCAAGAGCAGAAATGCCTGCTTTGGGTGCATTAAAAGGTTATCACCAAATTACAAGGATAACCTAAAACTATACATTGAAAAGTACCAAAAATTAAGTCAGCCGAGCCAGAGCAGCAACAGGGAGCTGACCACCGAGACCTAAATGTGATAAGGCGCTTGGCGGGGAACCCCCTGCTGCAATCAAAATTCCCCTGCTGGTTCACCGTCACCTAAATGGTCTATGCCGGACATGTTTTGATAAAGTGAATAACTGAATAACAGAGAGGGTTTCTCCTCTCTTTGAGCCAGTTCCTCAAAGTTCCAACATATGAAAAGTTGAAAGAGTGACAGCTCCTGACATTAGTCGTGTAACAGTCAGGCTTTTGCTATTGCATGCAAAATACCCAAGTTAGATTTCTGAATGTTGATCCACCTGGACGCAATTAGCCAATGCTTTCTTCAACAATCAAAATCGACAGTTATTGTTTTTCTGTGTTCCTTCAAACAATTCTGTGGGTTTGTCAATTTTTTTTTCTCTGCATGTTCCTGACATCATTGTCATTAAATGCGTCACATTGGCGTGCTGTTTTTCACACCACTTCAAGATGCAGCCCTCCTCTTCGGTGCTCGCTAGTTCACAACCTTTCACATCGCCCCTCGACACACTGGCATCAGGTAGTTGTGCATGCAACAAAGAGCTTGCTTTTTCGTTTTTCACTTTCAAACTTTCTAAAAGTATTCAGATATCATTTTGGAACTGTTTCTTGCTGTCAGAAGTTGAGTTGCTTGAACACTTTTAGATTTACATGACAAATTTCGGGTCACTTTCGAGAGTGCCCCCAACAGACGCTAAGAAAACTCACTCTCAAAGGAGTCATAGATTCTACATACATAGAAAGATCAGAAGAAAAAGATGATGTGTAAACAAAAGAAGATCATAATGAAACACAAACAGCTTTCCCCGCGTTTCTCAGTTTACTGTAACTGGGTAGAATAAGTCCCACAACCCAAACAGCTGTTTGCATTAGATATTTACTGACTGGTCATTACGGAGGATTTGATAAACTTTTATAAAACTGAAACAAAAGAATAAGAAGGGGAAAGGATCATGAATCATGGCAAAGACCTGCAAACATAGGTAAGGCGCTTACGTTGCAAAACGTATTGAGGATAGAAGCTATGACTCTGCAAGTTCTAGCTGACCCTGGACGAGTGGGATACAGTATCCCGACAGAAAGACTGACATACTCTAGATCAAACACATGTCTTTTGGGGGCAACAGCAAAGAGTATAACCATTCCACCATAGATGATAGGTCCAATAAACAGAGGAAAATTAGATGACAAACCTAAATTACCCAATCACCAAGCTGCCATGAACCTAGAGTCAAACCTGATATTTTCAAAGGGGAAGAAATTTACTTATTGGTCAATGGATCACAACAAAGAAGGTTAGGGCTGATAGTTCACAGCAAAAGTTGACACCAGTGATGGCTACACTTCACTAGAATCAAGACGGCCCATAACAGCAGGTGTAAAGAAAGGAGGAGTGATTGACTGACTAGCAATACCGCAAGCAAAAATTACATAAGGGGAATAGAACGGACAGGTGTACAAAAGAACAAGACAACAAGGGGCACAAAAACTGACACTATCACCTAAGCAAAAAAGATAAAACAAGAGCCAAAATTATATCGACATTAAATGCCAAGCTACATCTCTTCTTCCAAACACATAAGTCAAAAGCACTCACTCCATCATTGAGGGCTCCTTTGTCTCCAGGATATGGTCCGTCAGAATCCATGGCATGGACATCTCAATGGGGAACTGTGGACATCACAACTTTGATTCATTTGAAAATTTCAGGAATTTTTTTGTCCCCTTTACAATGCCATTGAACACTACATAGGCAAACATTATAAACACTGCAGGCTGGCTTTCAGGTCACAAGAAATCAAAACTTTTGATAATCATTCTCCTTTATCAGCAAATCAGTTGAATCAAAATAAATGATATCTATAACAAGCAGATCAAACCAGTATTAAGACACAAAAGGCAAATTGAAGGCAGCTCATATAACTGGTTCACAAAAAAACAAACAAAAAAACCCATATCAAACAAACGCTAAAAAGAAACAGAAGAGAAAAAAAAACAGATCCATACCTGAATACGTTTGCCCATGGTGAGTTCTAGGAAAAACTCACGGTACCACAACTGGGACAAGTCACAGCAGTTAAACAAGGAAGCTGGAGGAAAAAATTGGGATTATCAGGGAAGGGTAAAAACAGCACAGAGCAGACTAACAGGTAGAAACAACCATCAGACTACACACAAAAATGTTTCATTCCATCTTAAAATTGAGTGTTTTACACCGCAACTGACACAATTTAGGTAACATTGAGGGTAAGCTGCTTCTCCTTGCCTGGCAAGGATAACCCTACATTCTCAACAAAATGGCTTCCCTACAAGTAAATAAAATCATGTCGAAAGAGTGCAAGGCTAAGACCTAACCAAAACACAACAGACATTGAAGAGCTAATTAATTTTCTTTTATCTCCTATGAAAAAAAACTCTTATCTCCTATTGCTTGAAAGCCGTCGGGCATATAACTCGGCAACGCCAGAAAAGCGCATTGAAGTTTTGTGCCCGGCAGCTCAGCTTGCTCAGCCATCACACTGTGTTGCTTTCGTTAGGAAATATTAATGGGCTTTAGTTGCAATGCCCTTTGGTCTATCTTGCGTAACCACATCGCTTGCATAGGGTCCTTTTTCTTTGCATGGTGGATCTAGATCGAAGGGGGTAGTTTTGCAGGAAAGCCCACAACATTGCCCATGGTGAAGGGACAGATTAAGTATTAATAAGGTTCTTCACACTTAAAGTAGAAAACCAACAAGCAGCAAAATTGAAATTCCATGCCCGATCAAACATCTGAAGGTCTATGCCCGTATACTGAAAACAGCCTTTCTGTCCTACTAGTACCAATAATGCTGTTCACACTTCAAACTGAAATGCCACCTTTTTCCCTAACTTCAAAGTCAATATAATACATTACAAGAAGCAGCAAATCGGGAAGCATCAAAATTAAAATGCAATACCCCATTAACATCAGGAGGGCTATATCCTTGTAGAGTAATGGACAACGGCCATTCTGTCTACAGGTTAACATCTAAACAGCTGGCAACCATCAAAACAACACACTTTGCTGCCGCTTAAAGACTTTTAACGTGATGCTGTACAACACTGGTTTTTTATGACCATCAACAGTGACCACAATTTTGTGTCTTGACAAATTCGTACTATTACATGCGAAACAACTCAAGTGGTCTCTCAAGAATTGTCAAGAGAAATGCGTATAGTTGTATTCTTCACAAAAGATTTTTCCATCAGCAGGGGTCAACGTTTTCTCCAGTTGGTACTTTTGAAATCTGACAAATGTGCTCATTCTGAAGACGAGAAGTCTTCCCCTAAAACATTGCTGCATGATGAAATATCAGGAAGTGACATTGAAGACATAGTGGACAATGTTTTCTTGCAGGAGACACCAGAATAAGACAAAAAAAATTCAAAAATCAAACCAACATCTCAAAAATTAATTTTCAGATTTAACACCTACCATTAAAGTTGAGCAAATAGTTCCAGAAGAAAGATTTCCTGTGGAACTCTTCAATAGCTTGGACATGGTGCTCGTCCATCTCCCGCCGCAGACTCTTCTTTCCCCCACCGCGCTCATCAACCAGGGACTCCAGCATGGTGCGTACCATATACAGCTGAGGACACAAAAACATACAAATTTTATGCATAGCCATTCAAAGACAGGGTTAACCAGCAACACCCTCAAACAATTGATGAGTAGAAAAAAAACATTGAAAATCAAATTCACGACACCGACCAGCACTCGCACGCATAAGTGATTAACAGCTTTCAAAAACAAGTGCATGAATATCTACGGTTGAAATTAAAATTTGTCACTTTGATTTGAATTTTTACTCAAACTTTAATGTTAAATGGTTAGATTAAAAACTTTGACTTTGAATACTCAAAATGCATGTGTTACAAATTTGCTGCTTCCATTTTTACGATTTCTTTTTTTTTTTAGTGCTTTTTTAAAAACGGTTACCATTTCAAAATTCCTTACTCAATTTGTTTTAAACTTTGTTGACACATCCTGTCCACATAGTTGAATTTTAAAACTGCAAACTTCAGATTTGAAAAAATAAAAACTATTTGATTTACAGTCGAACCTGCCCTCACGGCCACCTCTATAAGACGGTCACCTGTACAAACGGCCACTTTCCATTTCCCCCCTTGCGTTTTTTCTATATAATTTAACTGTGTAAAACGGGCACCTGTCCAACGTGGCCGCGGCCACCTTATTTCAACACACAACCCCTATCACACTAAGCAATAACACCCGTCTAAGACGGCCACCTTAGTGACTCCATTTCGTTTAGTCATAAATTGTGCTTTGGCCCCTGGCGTTGTGGGCGAGCCGTCATAATTCAATCCCCTGTCGCTGTTGTTAGGTAGTCCCTCCAACCGATCATGTTGCGTAGGCCCCTCCCACTGTTGACCAATAGCTACCAATTTTCAGCTGCTGGTGAGGTAAGCGTGTGATCCCTCATAACCCATAAGCCCCGCCCAGAACTTAAACACAAATCGTAAGGGAGATGAGTGGTCACTGTTTACCCAGTCTGTAACAAAGTAACAAAGGACGTCATGAACTTGTGACAGAAACGTCGCTCGTTCTCCAAGTGGTGGCGACCCATGAGTTTGTTTTTACATGGCACTCAGTCTTCCTCGTCTGATACATTTCGTTTTATTGTCACCCTTTTGCGAAATCAGCAACAAAATAAAAATTACAAACAAAATACAAACCACCACCACCACCACCAACAAAAACAAGAATGCGGCTACTTTCGATTGGGACCTCTGATAGGAATAATTTGTTTTCTTCATCTTGATCAGTCCTGCCTAAGACGGCCACCTGTCTTATACGGCCACTTTTCTCCTTGACAATGGGTGGCCGTCTTACACAGGTTTGACTGTATTTGAATTCTAGTGACAGTCACCCTGTATATCTATTTTTCTCACTAAAAAACAGGCAAATTTGTAATTGTCAGTAGTTTCAAGTGTTTAGCGCCCTAATTACATAATTTTAGTCATTTAAGAAGCCAGCTGTTTTAATCCTGCCTGTCATAGCTAAACCAGGCTGAGTGGGTCCATGAGGAGCAATACTGAAAAACAGATATTATGTTTTCCAACAAGCAAATGGGCTTCCATACTCAAACCCTCTATACTATTTAATATAGTTTTTCGTGCTGGTTGGCAGCTACGCATGAGACGTTAAGATGATTGTTACTTACATAGAGTGGGACTTCCCGTAAAGCCAGTCAGATACAGATCAAATACTTTTCAAGATCAAGAACTGGCATTGCAAGAATTATTCCAGAAGTATCAAATACTTAAACTTTCGATTTGCCTTTCCAATACTTCTTTTAAACTTTGAAATAAATTCTCTATCCTGATCTTTGATACTTGTAAGACATTCTACCTAAGAAGCTGAACCTTTACAATTTCTATCTCCGAGCCTGGAATGGTTCTAATCTTTTCGATTTTTTTCTCAGCCTGTCATGCTCAAAAAAAAAGTCTGAAACGTTCCATATTTCCATGACTTAACTCTTAAACCCAGAGTTTTTTCCACAGTCTCCCGGAGTTTCATCTACAGTCACCTAAACCTAGTGCACTATATCTCATTATAACCCCAAAAGCTTGCCTCCAACTTCGAAAATGCGGTAACAAAGGCTTAGTAATTACTACAAAACTGAAATCGGGAAAAGTTTCGAAAAACAAGCAAAAATTAACACTAAAGGAAACAAAACAGCTGTCAGTAGTATCGGACGCTATCAACGTCGATGGGAAACATGTCTATTACCACCAGACGTTCCAAGCGTCCCAAGGGGTTTAACTCTTTAAACCCTGAGTTTTTTTCCACTGTTTCCCGGAGTTTTTTCTACAATCTTCTAAACCTGGTGCACTGTAACTCATTATAACCCTAAAAGCTTGCCTCCAACTTCTGAATGGTGAAAACAAAGGCTTAGTCATTACTAAAAAATTTAGCGTCTGATGGGGTTAAAAGAGTTAAGAGTTGAGAAAAAAAAAACACCTCTAAATTACACCAAAATGAACCAAACCACTAAAGACATAAAGCCTGTCTTGAGCTATCCAAACATACAACAGAGCTAGACAACAAACAAGAAGAATAGTTGCCAAAGCGAGTGGAAAAGTGAATGCTTCCATTGATCCATGTTGTAAAATCAGCTCTGGTGGCCTAGCTCACTCCCTTCTTTTAGAATAAAATGGAAACTGAAGTACAAAATGTTTAGAAAGTATGAAACCAATTATCTCTTTTTCTGTTAAGGGTGTCATTATACATACCATCAGCCCTTAGCAGGACGTCAGCACTAAACTTTTTGTGCTTCTATATTGAAGGAAAAGTAAACAATCAACAAAACTATGGTCATAGCAGTTATGACAAAAGGAAATGAAAGACGAGGATAAAAAGTAGTAGCATAAAGAAAAGAAATGTAAAAAATGTTTACAAGTTCAATGACAAATAGGAAGCACATCAACATCTAAATAAAAACCAACTGACGAGCGAATGTCCCTTGCTGCAATCATTGACCTTCTGCAATTACTAACCTGAGTGGAAGACGGTCCGACATTGCGCCGCGGCACTTTAATTTTGAACCCATCGCTGGGATCCTTTTTTCCACTGAGAGCAGGATCATCTTGCGGTTCCGTGCCACGCATCCAGTCCACACAGGTGCTACGCACAGACATGATGATGCTGCAGAGAACCACGAAAAACCAGACACATAGCATATGAATATGCAGACCTGCCACTCTATGAAATCTCAAAATCAGGATCTCAGGGAGAAAAAATCGGGATTTGGTGAAAAAAATCAGGATCAACAGCAAATCATGTATGTGTATATAGTATAGGGTTTTACGGCGCTCGCAACTGTTAAGGTCATATGAGCGCGCGAAACACAAGTTGTTTACTTTCGCAAAAGTTCACTCCACGACTGGTCAACTAATTGACTTTAAAATTCTAAAATGTTAAAATATAAAAATTTAGTGTAAATATATTTGTGATTTAAAACAACTCTTATAAGTAACAATAAAAATTTTAAATAGTACGTTTTCATTTTTTATTTTACAACTTGCCATAAAGGCCACCAATGGCCTTTATAAAATTCAAAATTCTGCTGGGAACAACGACGGAAAAAATATCCTGCAATTTCTTGCATTTATAATATTTCCTTCGGATCTCTCCAAAGTCTAGACATTCTGTTAAAATGTGTCTAACGGTAAAATCTGTGTCGCATCCGACACAGAACGGCTTCTCTTCTCCCTGTAGGAGGTATTGTGGGTCAGGGCCGTGTGTCCGATGCGCAATCGAGTAAAAATGACTTCGTCTCTTCTGGAGAGGTCCGAAGGATTTCGCTGATCTAGTTTGGGTTTTATTTCATATAGTTTATTATTTTTCTGGCTCTCCCACAGACTGGAGGTGTACTTTTTTACTTTATTTCTAAAGTCAGTCTGTGGGAGAGTGTTTGTCCTTGATCCCAGAAGAAGGGATGAAGCTTTCTTCGTCAGTTCGTCTACCTGCTCGTTTCCTCAGATGCCCACATGGCTGGGTATCCATGCGAACATGATGTTTTTTCCTGTTTCGGATAGTGTATGAATTTTCTGTTGTAACCTAACTATTTTTGGGTGTAAGAGTGTGTAGTTTGTGAGTGAGGTGATGCAAGACAGAGAGTCAGAAAGGATAAGGAAAGATTTGTTAGGAGAATTTTCTACAGAGTCCAGTGCCATGTCAATGGCAGTGGCCTCCGCAGTGAAAATGGAGGCTTCAGGATGGAGTCTCCTCTGGTGTGTATTGTTGGGTGATAGGGCTGCGGCGCCCACTTCATTGTCTTTTTTGGAGCCGTCCGTGAAGATGAGCTCCGCACCGGGGTATTTATCTATTAGTTTTTTGTATTCTGCTTTAAAAGTTTTGGTGTTTGTGCTTTCTTTGTTGTGTGTGGTCAGCTGTAAGTCTACTTTTGCCTTGGTGAGGTGCCACGGAGGGAGGTTGGGGAAAAGAATTTGTTGGATGTCTTGTTTGGAAAAGTGTAAGTTCTTGAGGTCCTCAAGGATTCTGAGGCCGAAGGGTTTGATGAGTTTTTCGTTGTTTTGGAATTTGTTTATGGTTTCTGGGTTTGTTTTAAAAATGCTGTTGTGTGCTGGATTTTCCGGTGTTGAGCTCTGTTTAATTGCGTACTGTAGTGAGAGTTGTGTGCGTCTGAGTGAGAGTGGTGGTATGTTGGCCTCGGCCTGGAGGCTCTCCACCGGAGAAGTGTGGAAAGCCCCCAGAGCGAGGCGGAGTCCTTGGTTCTGTATTGGATCTAGTATTTTTAAGACGTGTGGTTTTGCCGATCCGTAGACTTGACAGCCGTAGTCAAGCCTGGACCGGACAAGGGAGATGTACAAGTGGAGAAGGTGTTTTGAGTCCCCGCCCCACTCCGGATTCGATAGAATTTTCAAAGCGTTTAACGCTTTCTGGCACCTCACACGAAGGTCTTTGATGTGTGGTATGAATGTGAGTTTTTTGTCGAAAATGACGCCGAGGAAACGAGCTTGGTCCTGGACGGGAATCCTTTCCCCGTATAGTGTCAAATCCGGCTGCAGCACACATCTGCCTGTTCGGCAGAAGTGTACTGCA